GACCAACATGGTGAAACCATGTCTCTACTAAAAATGCAAAAATTAGCTGGATGTGGTGGCATGGGCCTATAGTCCCAGCTACTTGGGTGGCTGAGGCAGGAGAATCGCTTGAACCCGGGAGGCGGAGGTTGTGGTGAGCCGCGATCGCACCACTGCACTCTAGGCCACAGAGCAAGACGCGTGTCAAGAGAAAAAAAAAAAAAAAAAAAGTACAAAAACTATCCAGGCGCGATGGCTCACATCTGTAATCCCAGCTACTTCGGGAGGCTAAGGCAGGAGTAACACTTGAACCAGGGAAGCAGAGGTTGCAGTGAGCTGAGATCACGCCACTGCACTCCAGCCTGGGTAACAGAGGGGACTCCATCTCAAACAAACAACTGAAAAGACAATTCACGGCAGGTAAAAATATTTACAAACCTCTATCTGCTAAACAACTTGTATCCAGAACAAAGAAACAACTCTTACAACTCAATAAAAAGACAATTTTAAAATGGGCAAAAGATTTGAATAGGTATTTCTCCAAAGATAAATGGCCATTAAGCATGTGAGATTATGCTTAACACCATTAGTTATCAAGGAAATACAAATCAAAACCACAAAGCAACACCACTTCACACCCACCAGCTATAGCTATAAGAAAAAAAAAAAAAGGCCAATAACAGTGTTGACAAGGATATGGAGAAATTGAATCCCTCATGTATCGCGGTATGGACGAACGGATGCAGAATGGGAATGGACAATGGGGCAGCTGCTTTGGAAAAGTTTGGCAAAAATCTCAAATTCAGACTAAGGCTTTCTTCTGCCACTTCCTGAGGCCGCCATGCGAGTATCCTTCGGCTCTTCACCGCCTTCCCGCACCCAGTTCCTGAGGCTCCTGCCCCTCTGGGTCGAGGGCTGCCGCTGTTCATATCTTCCCGCTGCAAACCCAAAGCCGCTGAGGCAGAAAAGACGCAGCTCCCTCGACCCCGTGAGGACGGCGGTGAGGTCCGATTCCAGCGGGCTCCGGAGCCCCCCGCGGCCTCTGGGCGACGCTCACCCGGGCTGGCCTCTTCCCAGTCCTCGCCGGCCGAGCCTGCGCCTCCCAATAAACCAAGATGGCAGGAAGCCTCGCCTCAGGGTCTGGGGACTCCACCCCGACGCGCTCTGTCGGCGCTGCAACAAGCCGGGCTTAAACCTCCACAGAAGGAAGTCCCGCGGTAACGCCGCGCGGCGCCCGACCTCCGGCGGGTCAGAGCTGAGTTCGGCCTCCAGGTGGCAGGCGCTTCCGGCGGACTGAAAGTGGGGCCAACTGTCCCAGAACCCCAGGTTTAAGGCGCCAAAGAATCCAGGGCCCCGAGAAACCTGTGGTCAGACGGCAGCTCCCACCCCGCGGAAAACGCGCCCTCTGAAAACGTGGCTGACGCGTTGGCGCCAGGTTTTCCCTCAGAAAATCGTGTGCGCGCGCGCGCTTTCCAGGCAGTCTTACGGCATTTCCTACAAGCCAGAATCCCTCAGAAAATCTTTTATCGTTCCGACCCGCTTAGGGGATGCAAGGACTTCTCGCCCTCTACGCACTCGAGGCACTGGGCCAGAACTGAGCTGGAAAACACTGAAGAGCTGCGCGCCGGGGGCTCCTGCGGGGACCCCTCGAGCCATACTCAGCGTGGCCCCGCGGACTCAGAAGCCGCATCACGTGCGCGCGCCTCGCGTTCCCGCCGCACGGGAACGGCCGGGCGAGGCAAGAAACGCACGGCTGGGGCAGCCGGGACGTGGCCCCTCCCCACACTTTTGTGCTAACAACCCCCTCGGGCGCGCTTCGCCCACGAGGCGGCAAAGCGAACGCCCAGACTCCGGGGCGGGGTGAGGCGGCCTCCCCGTCCGGGAGAGAGAGCGCTTCTGGGCACGGCCCCGCCACACGCCGCCACCATCGCGCCCACAGCCACTTCTAAGGGCTCCTCGGACGGTGAGGGATGTGCGTTGAGTGAACGCTGGGCGGGCAACAGGGACGAGTCCGCGCTTCCCGCCGGCCCAAATGGAGCGCTGCGGCTGGAGACCCGGGACGGAAACCTGTTGGGAGCGCACCGGAAGTAGCCGTCCGCGGAGGTCTGCGCACGAGCTGTAGGTCCGCTCTGGGACACTCGGATGACCGCCCACTCGATGGTTCAACGGTCCTGGACTGGAGCTCCGCGTCTGGGCAGGAAGGGGCGAGTTGGGCTCTTAGTGTGAAGCGCCTGTGGGACATCTGGTGAAGACAGGACCTACAGCTGGCAAAAGATGCTGTGATGTTGATGCAAATTGGGGCGTCTTGATGGTCAGTCATGCTACTGGAGCACAAGAGGTCACCCCGAGACACTGTTGAGTGAGAAGCGGTCCTGGTGCCCCTGGAGCAGTTGAAGAGGGAAGAGGCGCCCTGGGCATGGAGACGGCCTGGGCGGCCCTGGGTGGGAGAGGAGGGGCCCAGAGGCCGGGTGCCACAGAATCCCTCATGGAACTAGGCCGCAACCCCAGGTTTAAGGAGCTGAAGAATCCAGGGCCTCGAGAAACCTGTGGTCAGACGGCAGCTCCCACCCCGCGGAAAACGCGCCCTCTGAAAACGTGGCTGACGCGATGGCGCCAAATTTTCCCTCAGAAAACCTTTTATCTTTCCGACCCATAATGGGTCAGAAAGGACTGTTGAGTACCTCGCAGAATGAGAATTAAGGACTGAAGGTAGGAAAAAGAATTTGACTTCTCTATAGGAAAAATAGATATATTGGGAGTGCTTCTAGGTGGCTGTGGTTGATGATATCCACAGCAGGAGCCCAGCTGGGATTACAGGCGCACACCAACACACCCGGCTAATTTTTGTATTTTTAGTAGAGATGGGGTTTCACCATGTTGGTCAGGCTGGTCTCAAAACACCTGACCTCGTGATCCGCCCACCTTGGCCTCCTAAAGTGTTGGGATTACAGGCGTGAGCCACCGCACCTGGCCCTCAAAACCCTTCCTCTAATTCCCCTAGACTCTCACTTTCAATGTTGGCCACTGTAGGGACAGACAAGAGACTATCTTTAAATGTGTTACTGAATAATTTGGAGTCATTCTAAACTTCCATCAACTCTAAATGTATCGTCCCAAAGGGCACAGAATGAGATTTTAATTTTGTGGGCAGAAACCTAATCATTCATTGGAGAAACAGAGAAAACAATCAGCTTGGACTCTAAGCCTTAGAGGAAAGAAAATGGAAAGATATACAGATCCTATCCAGGCATTGTCCACTCCCCATGTTCTGGTTCCTGTTCCTCCAGCTTCCCTCAAGATCTGTGCACAAATGGGTACAATCCCAGTGGCAACACCAGGGTTACTGACAACTTTCAGGCACATATTAAGAATCCAGCCTCTAGCACTGCTCAATTTGTGCCCTGGCTTTCTGGTCTTCTACGTCCATTTCCTGGAGTGTAGGGGTCATCTCAGCATGAGGCAAGAACTGGGTTATCAGAGTCTGCAGAGCCACTGACCAGACTCTGGGCAGGTGAGTTTGCCTCTCAGTAACCTCCCTGCTTACCTTCCCAGTACAAGTGCGTTATAGCCCAGACCCTTGACCAGAGCATTCAGCCACAACCTGGGTGGGTTTTTACCATAAAATCTCATGTGAAGGAGGCCGGGCACAGTGGCTCATGCCTGTAATCCCAGGACTTTGGGAGGTCGAGGTGGGCGGTTCATGAGGTCAAGAGTTCGAGCCCTGCCTGGCCAACACAGTGAAACCCTGTCTCTAGAGGGAAAAAAAAATTTTTTTTTGAGACAACAGTTTTACTCCATCACCCAGGCTGGAGTGCAGTGGTGTGATCTTGGCTCACTGCAACCTCTGTCTCCTGGGCTCAAGCGATTCTCTTGCCTCACTGGAGTAGCTGGGATTACAGGTATGCACCACCATGTCTGGCTAATTTTTGTATTGAGTAGACAGTGTTTCTCCATGTTGGCTAGGCTGTTCTCAAGTGATCTGCCTGCCTTGGCCTCCAAAAGTGCTGGGATAACAGGCATAAGCCATGGGGCCCAGTCAGAAACTTTTCATCAGCTGTTTTATTGTATAAACAATGAACTATTCAATTACACCTGTAATTTGAAGTTCACAAAATCAATTGCTCTTACCATCAATGGCTTTATAATCCTTTTTTTTTTTCTATTTTGATGACCTTATTGTATGCATCATTATTTTAATTCAAAATACCTTTGGGAGGTATGAACTAGACATAAGCAATCTTTTAACACACATATTTTTGGGACAAAGTACAGTCACACAATCATGGCTCACTCCAGCCTCAACCTCCTAGGTTCAAATGATCCTCCCATCTCAGCCTCCCAAGTAGCTGGGATGGGATGGCAGGTGCCCACCACCATGCTTGGCTAATTTTCTTCATAGAGATGGGGGTCTCACCATTTTGCCAAGCTCAAACTCCTGGCCTCAAGTGATTCATCTTAGCCTCCCAAAGTGCTGGGATTACAGGCATAAGCCACTGTGTCCAGCCTTGATTTCATTTTAAAAATTATTTCAACATAAGCCTTCAGCAGCTTATGTTAAAATCCTTGACTTTAGAATGAAGTTTTCACTATAGCCAGTAGCCACACTAGATTGCCTTCTGATGAAAATACAGATCCTACATGTTGGTGCAGCTGACACCCATTCTACACGTTCAGATTTAAAAAACAGTGCAGATGTTTAGGAAGCTGGCTCAGCTATTCTCTGGTTTCACGAAGACATTGAGTCATTGCTCATTGTTCAGGATAAAAAGGCAGCTCTGGGGACCCAACACTAACTCTTGCAGTTTTCCATTTTTCTGTGCATTCACTTTGGGGATTGCATTTATCTGCTGCTCTCTGGGTTTGGTCTCTCCTTCTGGCTTCTGCATATTTGGGATCAGACCACAACATGGACCACTGGCCTCCGCTGGGATTTCCAATGGCATTCCCAGCCAGGAATAATGCTCTTTGTCTCCATCTCACAATCCTGATATAAAGCAAGATTCCCTACAGAGCATGGCCACCCTGAGGCAAGCACCTGCTAGGGCACTTTATTCAAAAGGGAGCAGCTGGCAACAGCAGGAACCCACATTTCCACCTACTTCCCATAGTACACCAAAGCCTCGCTTATATCCATTATATCCTGTATGAATCATCTCGTTGTAAATAATGTGAGTTCCAAATAAATGCTTTTTCAACATTCATTACATCCATGGGGGTTTTCTCCAATAGGAACTTCCAGACATTGTATAATGAATTACAATGAAAGGCTTCCCACCTCTGTTGCATTCTTGGATGCTTTTCCCTCCTGTATGAAGTGAGGGGTTCCTATCAATTAGGATTTGTGAGATAGTGACTGAGAAGCTAGCTCACAATGAAAGCCTGTCCAGATTCTTTAACTTATACTTGGTATCCATAGTGTGAATAACCTAATGTCTAATAAGGGTTGAGCTCTGGTTGAACCATTTCCCACATTCACTACATGCATGTGGCTTCTCTACAGAAATGTGTTCTGTGGTGATGAATTAAGTATGACATCTGAATAAAGCCTCTCCCACACATAACACACATGTAAGTTTCCTCTCCAGTGTGTATTCTTTGGTGATCAATCAGGTGTGATGTTTGAAGCCCCTTCCACACTCATTGCATTTCTAGGGCTTCTCTCAAGAATACAGCCTTTGATTATGAATCAAGTGTCATGGCTGGTTGAAACTTTTTCCACAGTCTTTACATTCAAAAAGTTTCTCTCCGTATCCGAGTTGTGGCACAAAAAAAAAGACAAAAAAAAAAGTTTCTCTCCTGTATGAATTCTCTGATACTGCATGGGATTTGCTTTTGGATTAAAGGCTTTCCCACACTCATTACATTTTTAGGGCTTCTCTCCAATATATATCAGTTGGTGTTTAATAAGGTTTGAATTCCCACTAAAGGCTCTGCCACATCCATTCCACCTATACGGCTTTTCTCCAGTATGAATTCTCTGATATTTAACAAGCTTTCATGTCTCCCTAAAAGCCCTTGCCACATTACTACACACAGGGTTTCTCTCCACCATGAATTTTCTTTTTTTTTTTTTTGAGATGGAGTCTTGCTCTGTCACCCAGTGTAGAGTGCAAGGGCACAATCTCAGTTCACTGTAACCTCCGCCTCCCTGGTTCAAGCAATTCTCTTGCCTTAGCCTCCTGAGTAGCTAGGATTATAGGCATGCACCACCACACCCAGCTAATTTTTGTATTTTTAGTAGAGACAGGATTTCACCATCCACAGTGATATTTTCTGATGTTGTGTAAGGCTTGAGTTGTGGTTTTTCCCCACATTTGATACATACGTAGGGCTTCTCTGTAGTATGAATTATCTGATGCCAAGTAAGGCGTGAGTTCTTGTTGAAAGATTTCCCACACACATGACATCCATGGAGCTTTGACCCACTGGTAACTGCCTGATGTCTAATCATACACGACTCACATGGAAAGCTTCAGCCACCCAACCTCCAACCACTGGCTCTCTCTCCTGGCCTGTCCCTTAGAGGTACAAAAGGCTTTGTGCCCAGACACAAACTTTTCTCCAATTTGTTACATTTCTGGTATTTCTCTGCTGCATTGGTTTTGAAGCAGGAGCTGACCACTTGCCTCAAACCTCTCTTTTGGGAAAATAACTTCATCCTGCTCTTTATTGTGAATTTTTTCCAGTAATGTTCTGCTTCTGTCTCATTCCCGCAAGCTGATCGAAACTCAAACTCCTCTGGATTGCCTCTTGGGAAAATTTCTTGAGTTACTCCTTGTAATTGTTCTTCAGAAGATTTTTCTGTTGGGGTTACTTGTTTATGCTTTGTCTTGACCTGAGAATCTGAAACAAGGAATAGAAATTAAAAGTTTCTCTGTTAAAGAAGAGAGGAGTCTTATGATTGAGCCTAAGCAATTTCTGTACAGCTCATATATCTCAGCCTGAGTTTTATATTCCCTTCTGTTAATTATTTTATTCCATTTTGTTTTATATCATACTTAGTTGTATGTGTCCATCTCTCTCTGACTAGACTATGAAATTCTGAGGGCAAATGCCTTCTCACACAAGTCCTTGCAGCACCTTGATGGTGCAATGCACAAAGCAGGAAGTGACAACTACAGAACTAGTGATTCATTCCAACAGTGCCAGGTACCTCCTGTGTGCCTGGCACTGCTTGAGGTACCAGGGACTTGGTGAATGAATGAAGTCCCTCTCCATTAACATTCTAACGTGGAGACCAACAATATGATAGGACATCAGGACAGGATAAATAATTCTTCCCCAAACTACGACGTTCTCCACAAACCAAAATCCACACTTCCCGAAGACAAGGACTTGGTTTTGCTTATACTTAACCCCAGCACCTAGAAGAATGCCTGCATGCCAAGCAGCATGCAAACTGTGGAAGTAGGAGAGGGTACTGGGGCCATGCTCCAATGTGACCACAATGTGGAGTTCTGTTTGTATTTTGACATGTAAATGCTAATCACCTCATCAGTGAAGCCTGGTCACCACTAGAAAATGGCTGTCCACCCGAGTAGCTGCACATGGAGTAGCACAATGGACTTGCACTTCCCTTCAGAGGGACGATGAGGCCAGGAAGGGAACCAGAATAGATAATCAGGGGTCTCTCAGCTAGCCATCTGAACTACCCCCTCACCACTCCCACAGCGCACATGCACAATGCATCACAGCTTCCCCAGAGACACCTACCTCATCACTCACCCGTGCAGGGAGGTCCTGGCAGAGCAATGACCCATGCATTTTTCCCTGTTCCAGCGGGGAGATAACCCTGAGTGTAGACACTGGAAAACCTGTTTATCAAGAAGGTAATAGTCAATGCTTGAACATCTGAGCTGCCCCTGGCTGAGGGCCAGAGAGGCTGCAAAAGGAGGGGGATCCAGAGGAAGTCTCAAGAAGAAATTATGGGTGATGAGACCACTGGGCATTACCTGCTGGGACATGGGTACCCTAGCATGGACTGGGGATGTTTGGTCTATGAGTCAAGAGAGCCCAGGGAACCAATCACCTGGGGATGGTGAGAAGGGACCTGAAGCCCACTATGCGATGCTTACCTAGAGCTGTTAGGATGCAGTGGTTCTCCAGCATCACATTCTGCTAGAGTGCTCTCTAAGGGGATCCCAGGTGCTACCCCTCCTCCTATGTGAAGTACAAGGTTACCACCTCACACATCACTGTGCCCTGGAATCACAGATGCTTACTGCTCAGAGAGCCTCACCCCTGCCCAAGGGCAGGTGCACCTTGCAGCTTGGACTGAGTTTCTTTTTTTTTTTTTTTTTTTGAGACGGAGTTTCACTCATGTTACCCAGGCTGGAGTGCAATGGCGCGATCTCGGCTCACCGCAACCTCCGCCTCCTGGGTTCAGGCAATTCTCCTGCCTCAGCCTCCTGAGTAGCTGGGATTACAGGCACGCACCACCATGCCCAGCTAATTTTTTGTATTTTTAGTAGAGACGGGGTTTCACCATGTTGACCAGGATGGTCTCGATCTCTTGACCTCGTGATCCACCCGCCTCGGCCTCCCAAAGTGCTGGGATTACAGGCTTGAGCCACCGCACCCAGCTGGACTGAGTTTCTAGCAAGAGGCTCTGCATGCATCTCCCTGCCTTCCAGGCAGATGTTTAGGAAAAGAGCTAGGAGTAGGCTGGGCAGGGAAGAGGTGACAGAACCCTCAAAACTGGGTTCTCCCTTTAGGACCCTGTACCCTCCTCAGCTCTGTGGAAGGGGCAGCCAGCAGGTGGGCCTGGATCTGAGGAGGGAGATTCTGTTCTCAGAGCCCCAAGGATCCGCTGGGCAAGGGGCTCCAGGCTGAGGCGGAGAGGCCTTGGGCAGCAACTGCTCCCCAAAAACCAGCTCACCTGGGGCTCAGCCACCATGGCTGGGCTCCTCCTAGGAAGAACAGAGGCAGGGTGTCAGAAGGAAGACACAGAAGGGCAAGCCCCTGCCCCACAGACCTGCCTGCTGCAGTGGCCCCAGGTCACAAGCTGTCTTAGGAGCTGGTGACTGCATTTCCTTCAGCATGAAGGGCACCTGCACCTAAGACCTTCTCATCTGGGCCTAGTGCTGCTGTGGAGCCCTTGAATTCAGGTTCAAGGATGATGCTGTGTCTCTGCTGCTTAGAGTCTAGAGGATGTGACCTGACGCCGACCCTGCCTGGTAACACTCCCTGATACCCTCTCCCACCCCCAGAATTCAGGTCCAGTGCAGGCTCCATCAGATCTCCAGCTTGCCCTCCTCCCTAGAGCACCTCAAATCAGTGCCTTGCTGGGGTGAGGCATGCTCAAGAGGGGATGGAGTCATGCTGGAGGGGTGTGCATTGTCAGTTGCCTGCAGGAGGACCTACAGTATGGGCCTGGAGAAAATGCTTTTTGGTAGAGCCAGCACCAGGCACCAGGCCCCAGGCTAGGAGTAGCATGGGGCAGGGGCTCACTCCTCCACCTGCTCCCCTCCTCCCCGGCTGCCCCCACCCCTGCCTGAGGCCAGGGTACCCCCTAGCCCCTGCCCCCAATCACCACCCTAGTCCTTGGCCTCCCACTCTCTGCTGGCCCCTGGCTCACACTGCTCTGACTTGGGTTTATAAATCAGCTTCCTCCCCAGGCCCCTGGCCCACAGCCATGTCTGTCCTGATGTCTCAGCTCTGCATCCTCCCCGTACCCCCTCAAAAGAACCCACCACAAAAGAAACCGCTATGGCATTGCAGTTGCTGGTGGAGGGGCATGGCCTGAGCTGGAAAGGTGGTCAGCAGGAGTCTCTCCCCAGCTGGGCGGGGCCCAAGGGGTGGGGGGCAGCGCATAATTGGCTACATGTCACCTCAACCACCTCTGCCTCATGGACAGCAGAGACCAAGACTCCACCCAGTGGAGCATGAAGGGCAAAGAGTGTTAACTTGTGTGGGCTCCAGGTTACACCCAGAATATGGGGCGTAACACAGATAGATGGCCACACGTGGTCAAGTCAATGTCCTAAAGAGAAACAAAAAGCAGGGAAGCTAATCCAGATTAAAAGAGCCAGCAGGGCACAGGAGCTTAGGCCTGTAATCCTAGCACTTCGGGAGGCCAAGGCAGGTAGATCCCTTGAGTCCAGCAGTTTGAGACTAGCCTAGGCAACATGTTGAGACTTGGTCTCTATAAAAAAAAAAATACAAAAAATTAGCTAGGCATGGTGGCACACACCTGTAGTCCCAACTACTCAGAGGCTGAGGTGGGAGGATCAC